TATGTAAAGTAAATTAAAAATATAGCGAATTCTAACCTGCGCTGAGAAAAGTAACAGGTATCACGTGACGACGTTATCGGCTTCATAGTTATGAAAATACATTTTACAAACAAAGAAAGTTAGTGCCTTGAACTTATTTTTTCTTGTCTATTAATATGAAATGTTCATTATATTCCACAACGGCATGCAATGTTTGATATATTCTGTAGGTAGCCTACTAGTGTTTATGTATTATTATATCAACACAAATCGGCGGTCTAGATAATAATACCTTTAACAGACTTAGAAACTATACATAGAAAATTATTATTTATTAGACCAATCGTACCTGACCAATAAGGACCAATCCTGGTCCGTTAAGCCCCGCCCACGGTGTGCTTCATGGTCTTGTTACCTGCCGATCCAACCGCTTATTGTATTTCTGTGGGATTTAAAACTCAATATGTGAAATATTGAAAAAATTGAGGTTTTTGTCATGTCTCGGCTGATTTTAATTAGATATGACACGCTCAAACCAGTTTCGGTTCATAACAAGAATACATTTTCGTCCAAAACCAGGGAGGGTTTTGATTATTATCATTTGATGACAGGTCCTTGAAATATGGCCAATTATTCAATTAAGGCACTTATTGAATTCTTGAAATTAGACTTATTCAAGTTATTTGTCATCAAAAACAAACGAATAAACAAATAGGCTACAGCGGGTAAGAATCACCCCCCTTTGCGGACTGAAATGGAGATGGACACAGTGCAGTTTATAGCATGCAAGTGAAAAATATAACTAGAAAAAAATAAGTAAATAAAAAACCAGAATCACTGAGTTGGAAAAAGGATCTTTTAACAGTGCTTTGCCACCCATAGTTGGTTGTTTGCTTCAGTTGCACTACCAAGGACGGAAATGCTCCAGGAAAGCGCTTTTCATGCTGAGCTGATCAAAATGAGCACAGCTGATCACAGATGAAAGTCAAATGGCTTTGTGAGCCATTGAGAAGGTGATTAGCTACACCTGATTGAGTTTACAAGTCATTTTTAGGAGGGGGCTGATCCTTTTTCCAACTCAGTGATTCTGTTTTTTGTTTTTTTCTGACATGTTGGTGTTATATCTTTCACTTGGATGTTATAAGTTGCACTGAGTAAATACAGCTGGATAAAACAAAAACTGTCCGTCTTCATTTCAGGCTGCAAAGCAGCAAAATTTGATTATTTTAAAGGGGGCTGATTCTTTTCTATATCCACTGTAAATATCAGACAGTTCAAATATTCTATCAGAACCAAATATAGAGTTTTGTCTTATAAATATTCTTTAAAAATATTAGTTATAATGTTTGGCGTGGTGGTAATGGCAGCAGTATTAGGGACAGTGAATATTTGTTATAAAAATACAAACTGCACACATTAATGGCAAATTCAAAATATGATTTTTAAAGTTCCTATGAGAAGGTTCAATATAGACTTAAATAATATATTCATATTGAAATTTTTCTTACAGAGGGAAAAGGTGTGGACAAACCTAAAATAAGGAAACAAACTAAAAATATTTGAGGGACAAACCCATATGCACACAGTACGGTATATTTCCTGGAACATGTGATATTCCATACAAACTCAAATACACCATGTGACACGGAATTACCGGGATTAAATCTGTTCACATATTACATGAGAAATGCACTGAAACTGGGAAGGTAGGATTTTCTTCTCTTTCTGATTCTGATTCTGATTCTGATTTATGCAATTGGCCGCTGGATTAGTACAGAGACCTGCTACCAGAGCTTTGAAGGATCACTGCACCAAACGCATCTGAATTATGTTATTATTCTATGACTCTATTACTAATAAATGTTTAATTCTAATATAATCATACTCATTTAAACTGAGGACTTTTAACATCTCTCTAAACCATATATTTAATCCATTATATCTTTTTTTTTTTTTTTTGCTGTTCTTTCTTTCAACTTGCAAATAAGCCTTAGGATATGTTTATAATAGCTAATTATAATTCTATCTATGCTTGCTGTAATAAGAACTGCTTGAAACCATTAACAGGGTAAACGAACATAATTTTCTCAGAACTTTCACTGTTAACCACTAGATGGAACACTTGTAACGTTTTTATTCATGTTCCATCAGATAGTCTGACACATTTTATATCTGCTCTTCAACAGTGCTGTCGTTCTTCGGATAGATGACGCTAATCAATCACCATCAACATAATAGTGGCGCCTCAAGTCACTGCTTTGCATTTTGTAGTGAAAATATAATGTAGGCCTACATGTAAATTATTAATCACCAATAACAATACACGTCGCCTGTGAGTTTCATTTTTAAACGATCACATCACATTTATGATTAGAATAAAGTGTTGATATCATTGAATATTTAAATATATTTAGTTATTTCTTATCATCCTTGTGTAATTTACCACAGGCTCAGTTCCGGTTTTAGCTCAGTTTGTTGAGAAAACCGACTCGATTTACCCACATCCGGGAGTTTCTCTCTCATAAGAAATAGAATGAAAGGCTGGAAAAATAGTGAAGCTCAGAGGCCTAGAGGTTGTCTATAATTATTCAAGTACGATACCTGTTAACCTGTTTTAACTCTTCACTGTTTATGTTCAATTCAACGACCATTAAAATAAATTTCTGTCTTTATTCGTGTGTAAAATATTGTCAAGACGCTGATGAGGTACGTCACCTGATACCTGTTACTTTTCTCAGCGCTGATCAAGATGGACCAATCACAGTTGATTGTGTTGGCTGATTGAGAATTAAAAAAAATAATAATAATTTTATAAACACTGTTGAGGCAGATTGTGATTTGCATTGCTGTTATGAATCTTTGTAACTCGTAGATTTACAAATATGCATTTTTTCATCAACCAAATATTTTCAATAAATAATAAACGTCGTGGGATTTGAACGCGGCTCAATGAGGATTCAGGTTTCTGGGCCGCCGAGCGCCCCCTGTAGAAATAAACCAGTGCGTCTCCTAGGAAACACTCACAGGCCGACAACATTTGCGGTTCAATGAGAATGTATCTCTCTCTCCGATACACACAAGGCATTTTGGGAAACGAGTTTCAGAAATCCGGATTCTGAACGAGAGCTACGCATTCTTACCAGCGCAGCGCGGTGTTCGAGCGCGGATTTACGGCGAGTGCGCGGCGATCTGTTTCTTGAGATTATTTCCACAGAGGAGCATGAGGAACCCTGCGGGATTAAGGCGGTAGATCAAACCAGCCAGATCACACATCAACTCATCCACAAACGAGCATGGATCGGAGGAAAAGAGAGCTCGTGGAGAGTGAAGACGCGTTTATATGAAGGTTTTGGGGAAGAAACAAGTCGTTTCGGACAACAGAAGGGAAAATTAAACGGGCAAATCAAGGAAGAGAAGATCATCGGTCCATCCAAAGGGCTACCTGTGCTTCACAAGTAAAATCACACAGATTAAATCGATCATAACAGACCTCATCTGTCAAGCTGTAGGTAATTTGATGTAGATGTGTTTCTATACGGTGTGTTTTGGCGGATTCAGTCGCATCAAATGTTACATTGTATCGTTTCTTTCTTTTTCAACTTCCTTGGCGAAGTGATGATACAGTGTAACTGTCATTGAAAGAACTGTTCGCTATCAACTCGAACGCTGGTTTAGTAATAGTTTAACCTCTGGTTTGGTCATAGGTTAAGTGCTGGTTTTGGTTTAGGCTCTGCTTTATTGATGCTTCTGAACTAGGAAGTGAATTCTGAGATGAGGAAATTTTCTTCAGAAGCTGAAATTTGGTATTTTAATAAGTGTCCTGTAAGACATCTGACTGTTGAGCTGTTGATTTAGTGTGTGATGATGAGTCTGTCATATGAATCACTTTGGAGATGCTCAAGTTTATGAATAATATAAACGTACTGATCAATCATCATCAATTCCTCATTCAGACTGAATGTCTTTCACTCGCTGTAGTTCTCAGTTCTGTTTTTAGATCATCAGATCATGTTCAATTTTTTATCAGTAAGACTATTTTAGTTGTAGTAGTTCTAACTTTTCTGTTTGTCTGTGTATCCAGCAATCTGTCTCTCATGGGTCAGGTGTGTGTGTGTGTGTGTGTGTGTGTGTGCGCCTACTTAACCATATTTCGGGGACAAATTTGTACCCAAAAGTGTGCAAAACGTGACTAAATCGCCAAAAACCTCCATTTGGGGACTTCCTCATTTGTAAAACTGGTAAAAAAAAAAAGTAAACAAAGTTTTTTTGAAATTGTAAAAATGCAGAAAGTTTTCTGTGAGGGGTAGGGGTGGGTTTAGGTTAAAAAGGTGTATAACTATCTGTATATAAAAACAATAGAAGTCTATGTAATGTCCCCATTTAGATAGCTAAGTAAACGTATGTGTGGTTAATTAGCTAATTTAAGTAGGAAAGACTCAAATAATGTTTTAGAACTCTAAAATAAAAACTTCTAGGTGCATAGAGTTTGAGTTCAGTTAGCTTTAGATCAGGTCAGTAGAAGTCCATTGTATGAGCTCATTGAAATTGGAAAAGTGTGTGTGTGTGTGTGTGTGTGTTTGTTTCAACAGTGACGCATTTTCTCCTGAATCTGCAGTCGTTAGTGTCACATGTCTTAAATATTGTATGCATGTTTTGTAATTGTTAACACGGTCCCTAATAGTCTGTTGTGGTTTCAGTAAGTTGTTTCACACATCGGCTCTCTCACCCCACAAGAATCTGTTACATGCATGCGTATTTGTACGTAAGATCTTGTCAGACTGGTTTTATAAGCAGAGTAATTGCGAAAGTGCAATAACATAATTTGCATAGAATTTCCTGTGTTTAAACATTAATTTTGTATTCATTAGGTCTTTTTCAAGACATTTTGACTGGAAATTCATGTTAAATGTCAAAACATAATAATGCTATAATTCAGAAATAGTTTATATTTTGTAAATTAATAATTTATTCGATATTTCTTCTTATAATTTTGATGAAATATGACCCGGACGTGCTCTTGACATGCTTTGTGAGATTCACCCACCTGTAGTCTAAATTATTTGTGTACATTTATACATGAGAAAAACGAGAGAATCCGAATCCCGTAGCAGAGGTCGAGTCTGCGCATGCGCGCTGCTGACTCGCCGTAATATCCTCGCTCATCCGCGCGTGCTGAAGAGAAACGGGCTGAATTAAGAACCGAATCAAATAAATAACCGCAGCATATTCATACACATCAAACTGCGCTTTAGACACACGCATGCTGTCATCATGAGTCCCGTGAGGAGATGCATGAAAACACTGCTGCAGTTCGGCTGCTGTGTGTGTTTATGCGGCGCGCGACAGCAGCATCATCAGCATCATCATCATCATCCGCGACAGCAGCATCAGAAGTGACCGAACCGGCACACGGAACCGCGCGGACCGACCGAACCGCACCGCGCATCCGGACGGCAGCGTTTCAGCAGCCGGGATCTTTCTTTATCAACCATCCCGATGCTTTTGTCGATTGACCGCAGCTGAGACCCACATCGGACCGGGGAACCGGAGCGCTCATGTCCTCACCGGGCCCGAGACCACTGCACCTCACCCGAGCCTCTCTGCGCCGTTAAATATTCATAGTCACGATCTGAGTGTCAAACTTGATACTCCGGTGCCTGGAGAGACAGATGAGAACCTTCACAGCCGTATCTGTCACGTTATGAAAATCTGCATGAGCTTTAGCTGAGACTCCGATGAGATGAGTAGCTGGATCTATACAAGCAGGACGAGATTCACTGCAGCACCTGCAGTCTGACCCGCTGAGGGCCTCAATTGGGTCAGAAACCCTCTCTATGTCATCTGAGTCCACTGATGCTGGAGACACACATGCATGCATACATGTATGCGCAGTCGCATACACACTGATGCTTATACAGGGGTTTGCACACACACATGCCTGCATGCATGCATAGTCACATATATGTTATGTTGTTTTTATATCTGGCTTCTACGCTTACTAGGGTGGACGGTATATTGGTGGTTAAACTGGTATTAGCAGATATTACCATGTTTTTTGTTTTTTTTAATTATTACTAGTATTTTTTAATTATTATTTTTATTAATATCATTTGGTGTCCGAATTAGATGCTGATCTTTTTTTGTGTGTGCCATGTTTATAAAGGTATCCATCCTTTTGCTCAACATTAAAATAGTTGTAATGCCTGATTGTAAAAATGTTAAGTTTATTTTTTAAGAATGCAAACCCATAGAGACTCATTATATCAGTCATATTTGCCATAAAAAAAATATTGGTTATCAGTATCAGGAAAAATACCTTAATTTTAACATTTAATAAAAAAAAATATTTTATATATTTTTACAATTTTAATTTGTCATATAATGTTTTTACTAGTTAAAACCTCTTGAAATGTCCTTAAGAAGTCTGTTTCAACAGATTGTACTATACTGTACTATACTAAATTGTTTTTAAAATTGGTCTTGGCATGCATCTCTGATTAAATGCATGCACACATACATGCACTCATTCGCATGCATAGATGCACGCAGATTCATATGCTTGTTCTCTGGACGCTGATGTTTGTTTGCGATGAAAGGAATATTTGCTTCTGCAGGCTGGATGAAATGTGACGCATCGTAATCCCGGTGACAGCTGCGGAAAGATGAGCCACAGACAGAGAGAAAGAGAGCGAGAGAGAGAGAGACAGGCAGTGAACATGATTAGAGGGACTGCACTGTGACTCAACCAGACGCATAAAAAAACAAGACGGGAATGGAGACTGGAAACTTTCTCGCTGCGGCAAAGTTCCTCTTTTAAACGGGTAAACGGCGTGTTTTCATCTCGAGTGCTTCAGTAATGTGTTGTACCGCCATCCCCGAAGTGTCGTCCTTCCTCTCAGGCGAGGTTACGGCAGGTTAAATGCCACCTGAGGCTTAGAGAGACCAGGCCCGTTGAGCTGAAGGGCCTGCGGGCCCTCGCAGACTTTTGGGGAAAACGGCACCCGTGGATCCTGTCAATCACAGCCACTTCCTGATGTTGATCTCTGGCAGACTAGAGGAGATGTCTGACCCTCCAAACTGAGTTTAAGAACCGTAGACCTTTGTGTTTGAGTGTATTTATGTGTATGAAAGCCAAACAGAGGGACGCAGCGTGTGTTTCTAAGTTGCTCGTGGCAATGGGGAGTTCTGCTTCGTCTCTGACCACGGACAGAGAATCAGATCACGGGTTCGGTACGGCTCCGTTCCCGCCGGCCGCTCCGATGGGCTGGCTCAGGACCAGCCACAGCAGTCCGGTGTGGGGAACCACTTTCATCACACGCCAACAGCAGCAACAGCAGCCTATCCCACATAGAGAACGCAGGTAAACGCATGCACGCACCAACATCATGTTTAAGGTGATTTAAGGTCAACATGACATAAAATTAACTATTTACACACTCAAAAATAATAATATTAAGGCCTAAATTTAAGATTTATGCATTTGAAGTGCATGCATTTGGATTAGTTTAAACATAAACTAATAAACCTAATGTGATTCATATTTGTCAATCATGCATCAATAAAACTAAAAAACTCATGGCATAGTTTGATTTTATTTCAATTTAAATACATTTATTCAAATTAATTGTGAAAATAATTAAATTTATTCAGTTAAAAAGTGAGCATGGTTAAAATATGGAACAGCCAATATCCAATTAGTTAAAATGTAACAGATTTAAACAAATTGGATTGATTATTTATCTTGTGTATTTAAAACACTTTGTTTTTTTGTTACTATTACAGAAATCTGACCTGTTTCTTTTATGTATGACTGACAAATATGCATCACATTACATTTATTAGTTTGTTTATGTTCAAACTGTGTAATCCAAATGCATGGAAATGTAATTCAAATACATATCGTTTGTAATGGGTTTTAATGTTTTTGTCTTGTCGCTCCGGCCAGGACAAGGCATCAACAGTATGGGAGGGGCGTAACATTTCCGTCTCATGCTTGAGGTATTCAGCCAATCAGAACGCACTGGATAGCTGGCCAATCACAGCACACCTCGCTTTTTCAGACCGATGAGCTTTGTAAAAATCGACGCGTTTCAAAAAGGTGGGGCATAGAGGAGAAACAATAATGTACAGTATGTGGAAAATAATGTGTTTTTTTAACTTTAAACCGCATAAACACATTTCATTACACCAAATACACAAAATAATGTTCTTTTTAGCAGCATCATATGACCCCTTTAAATTTAAGCCTAAATATATTTTGAGTGCACGGTCCTGGTCTTTTTTTGTGAACGTTTTATCCGTGCATGTTATTATACCACTTTACACCATTCAATAATCCAGTCCTGCCCTAGATTTCATTTGGAAATGCATAAAATGAGTTGAGAATGTTATTTCAAGTTCATTTTGCATTCTTGGTTGTTGATGCATTTTGAACTACCATTCAGTTTTATTCAGCACGGATGCATTAAAATTGATCAAGTAACAGAGTTTTAAATGTTACAAAAGATTTCTATTTCAAGTATTATCCTGCTTTCCATAAAAATATGAAGCAGCACAACTGTTTTCAACATTGATAATAATCAGAAATGTTTCTTGAGCAGCAAATCAGCATATTAGAATGATTTCTGAAGATCATATGACACTGAAGACTGGATTTATGATGCTGAAAATTCGGCTTTGAACCCGTGAGGTTTCGTGTGTGTGTGTGTGTGTGTGTGTGTGTGTGCGCGTGCATGTTGATAACACATATCTTTGAAGTTCTTCTCTGTTTCACAGATGTTAATCATGTTTGCGTTACATGTCGAGGCAGGTGTGGTGGAGCTGAATCTTCAGCATGTACGTTGAAAAGAGTAGCTAAGTGCTGATGTTCATTTAAAGCGATAGTTCATTCAAATAGGAAAATCCTGTCATCATTTTCTCACCCAAATCTGTGAGGCTTTCTTTTTCTGTGGAACACAAAAGAAAATGTTTAGTAGACCATTCATGCTGCTCTTTTGCATACAGTAAAAGTGAATAAAGGAGGATTTCCGAGCTCCAAAAATGACAATTTATAATCGAATAAAGTGCCTCAAGACAAAGTTTCTCATCATCAAAACATCAAACGTAATGGATTCTTGATGTCTTGTCATTAACATCTTGAGTCGCCATATTTGAATGTACACAAAAAGGGAACTGAGGGACTGAGTGAACATTTTAATGTGCAGTCATTAAAATTATTTCATTTTTCCTCAAAGGTCTTTTCCTCATACAAAGTTACTATTTGGCTTCAGAAGAAGTTTGACTTTTAGTATGCAAG